GAGACGGAGTCTGACTGTGTCTCCCAGGCTGGAGTGCAGTGGCACGATCTGCAAGCTCACTGCAAGCTCCGCCTCCCGGGTTCACGGCGTTCTCCCGCCTCAGCCTCCCAAGTAGCTGGGACTACAGGCGCCCGCTACCACGCCCGGCTAGTTTTTTGTATTTTTAGTAGAGACGGGGTTTCACCATGTTAGCCAGGATAGTCTCGATCTTCTGACCTTGTGATCCACCCGCCTCGGCCTCCCAAAGTGCTGGGATTACAGGCTTGAGCCACCGCGCCCGGCCCATTTTCATTTTTTAAAAGAAGTGGAACATAATACAGTTTAAACGTCTTTCGTACTTCCCTTCTAATCTGTTTCCTTCTCTTTATGCCCAAAGGTAACTTTGTTGAAGTTGATACATATTCTTTTCATCCTTGTCTTTACACTCTTATATTAATATGCATGTATTCATAAACATTACACTACAAAGTTTTGTTTTGAAATCTAAGTTGTATCTAGCTGTGCTTTTCATTCTGCACTTGCCTTTTCTGCTTGATGTGTGTTTTTGAGACTTATCTATGTCAACACTAGCATTCATTTCAACTGCTGTATAGTAGTATTCCATTGAAGGATCGCCATAACTTATCTGTTCTACTTACTGCTTCCAGTTTGTTGATAATACAAATGCTGCTGTGATGAACATCCTTATATTTACCTCCTTGTGGTCATGTGGAGTATGGTTTCCCCTAGGGTGTACTCATTCAGCAGTTTATTGGAATTTTCTATATAACAAGCATTGTTCTGGGCAGAGGAATACGTCAATCAACAACAACCACCACCAAAAAAAAGAAAAAGGAGAAAAAAACAAAAACAACCATCTCTGCTCTTAGGGAGTTTATGTGAAGTGAGATTATTGGATTATAGAGTACTTGAGTCTTTGCTCACTTAACAAGAGTATTTTAAGAATGTAGGTGACAAATTCCTGACTTTATGGAGTTTATGATCTAACAGGTATATTGTCAATAGGAATGAATGCCATGAAGAAAAGGGAAGCAGAGCCGAAAGATGGATACTGTTGCCTTTCTGAAGGGGAACATTTGAGTAGAGACTTGAATGAAAGGGAGCATGAAGGACACTGGGAGATGATTCTTTGAGCTGAGGAATAACAAATGTAGAGACTTTGTGGAAAGAATATGATTAAAGAATGGCAAGAACCTCATTGTCACCCAAGTGTTGTGAGCATGGAGAGTCTGGCTGGGGATAAAGTGGTAGGGTGGGCAGCCAGGGATCAGGTCATGTACAGCCTTTTTAGTGTCCCACAGATTTTAGATTTTAAGTGCAGTTGAAAGGTGGAAGATAATGTGGCTAGGCCTTGGACTAGAGATAGCCAGTAGATATGGTGGGAAGTGATTCGATTTGAGATATGTTTTTTGTTTGTTTTTAATTTCCGGGATACATGTGCAGGATGTGCACGTTTGTTACATGGGTAAACATGTGCCATGGTGATTTGCTGCACCTATCAACTCATCACCTAGGTATTAAGCCCAATATACATTAACTATTTTTCCTGATGCTCTCCCTCCGCCTGTCCCCCTTGACAGGCCTCAATGTGTATTTCCCCCCCACCCCCACCGATGTGTCCATATGTTCACATTGTTCAGCTCCCACTTATACGTGAGAACATGTAGGGTTTGCTTTTCTGTTCCTGCGTTAGTTTGCTGAAGATAATGGCTTCTAGCTCCATCCATGTCCCTGCAAAGGACATACTCTCGTTCATTTTTATGGCTGCATGGTATTCCATGGTGTATATATACCAGGTTTTCTTTATCCAGTCTATTATTGATGGGCATTTGGGTTGATTCCATGTGTTTGCTATTGAGAATAGTGCTACATGAACATACGTGTGCATGTATCTTTATAATAGAATGATTTATATTCCTTTGGGTAGATACCCAGTAATGGAATTGCTGAGTCAAATGGTATTTCTGGTTCCAGGTCTTCGAGGAATTGTCACACTGTCTTCCACAATGGTTGAACTAATTTACATTCCCACCAACAGTGTAAAAGTATTCCTATTTGTCTGCAGCCTCAACAACATCTGTTGTTTCTTGACTTTTTAATTTAATTTTTTTGAGACAGAGTCTCACTCTGTCACCCAGGCTGGAGTGCAGTGGTGTGATCTCTGCTCACTGTCACCTCCGCCTCTCAGCTTCAAGCGATTCTCCTGCCTCAGCCTCCTGAGTAGATTTGATTACAGGCGCATGCCACCACACCTGGCTAATTTTTGTATTTTTAGTAGAGATGGGGTTTCACCATGTTGGCCAGGCTGATCTTGAATTCCTGACCTCAAGTGATCCTCCTGCTGCGGCCTCCCAAAGTGCTGGGATTACAGGCATGAGCCACCCTGCCCAGCCTATTTCTTGACTTTTTAATACTCATTGTTCTGACTGACAATAGATGGTATCTCATTGTGGTTTTGATTTGCATTTCTCTAATCATCAGTGAGGTTGAGCTTTTTTTTATGTTTGTTGGCCGCATGAATGTCTTCTTTTGTAAAGTGTCTATTCATGTCCTTTGTCCACTTTTTAATGGGGTTGTTGGTTTTTTTCTTGTAAATTTGTTTAAGTTCCTTGTAGATTCTGGATATTAGACCTTTGTCAGATGGAGGGAATACAAAAATGTTCTCCCATTCTATAGGTTGTCTGTTTGCTCTGGTGATTGTTTCTTTTGCTATGTAGAGAAGCTCTTTAGTTTAATTAGATCCCGTTTGTCAATTTTTGCTTTTGTTGCGATTGCTGTTGTCATGAAATCTTTGCCCATGCCTATGCCCTGAATGTTAGTGAGTAGATTTTCTTCTAGGGTTTGTATAGTTTTGGGTTTTACATTTAAGTCTTTAATGCATCTTGAGTTAATTTTTGTATAAGGTGTAAGGAAGGAATCCAGTTTCAATTTTCTGCTTATGACTTAGTCATTTCTCCTAGCACCATTTAATAAATAGGGAATCCTTTCCTCAGTGCTCGTTTTTGTCAGGTTTGTTGAAAATCAGATGGTTGTAGATGTGCAGTCTTATTTCTGAGTTCTCTATTCTGTTCCATTGGTCTAGGTGTCTGCTTTTATACCAATACCATGCTGTTTTGATTACTGTAGACTTGTATAGTTTGAAGTCAGGTAGGGTTATGCCTCCACATTTTTTCTTTTTGCTTAGGATTATCTTGGCTATACTGGCTTTTTTTTGGTTTCCTGTGAAATGTAAAAGTTTGTTTTTAATTCTGTGAAGAATGTCTGTGGTAGTTTAATGCGAATAGTATTGAATCTATAAATTACTTTGGGTAGTATGACCATTTTCATGATACTTTGATTCTTCCTGTCTGTGAGCATGGAATGTTTTTCCATTTGTTTGTGTCCTCTCTGATTTCCTTGAGCAGTGGTTTGTAGTTCTCCTTGAAGGGGTCCTTCACTTCCCTTGTTAACTGTATTCTTAGGTATTTTATTCTCTGTAGCAATTGTGAGTGGAAGTTCATTCATGATTTGGCTTTCTGCTTGTCCGTTGTTGGTGTATAGGAATGCTTGTGAGTTTTGCACATTGATTTTGTATCGTGAGATTTTGCGGAAGTTGCTTCTCAGCTTATGAAGCTTTTGGGCTGAAACGATGGGGTTTTCTAGATATAGGATCATGTCATCTGCAAACAGAGACAGTTTGACTTCCTCTCTTCCTATTTGAATACCCTTTCTCACTTTCTCTTGCCTGATTGCCCTGGCCAGAACTTCCAATACTATGTTTAATAGGAGTGGTGAAAGAGGGCATCCTTGTCTTGTGCTAGTTTTCAAGGGGAATGCCTCCAGCTTTTGCCCATTCAGTATGATATTTGCCCATTCAGTATAATATTGGCTGTGAGTTTGTCATAAATGGCTCTTATTATTTTGAGATATGTTTCATCAATACCTAGTTTATTGAGAGTTTTTATTTTATTTTATTTTATTTATTTATTTTTTGAGATGGAATCTCGCTCTGTTGCCCAGGCTGGAGTGCAGTGGCGCAATCTCAGCTCACTGCAACCTCTGCCTCCTGGGTTCAAGCAGTTCTCCTGACTCACTCAGCCTCCTGAGTAGCTGGGATGACAGGCATGTGCCACCATGCCTGGCTAATTTTTGTATTTTTAGTAGAGATGGGGTTTCACCATGTTGGCCAGGCTGGTCTCGAACTCTTGACCTCAAGTGATCTGCCCACCTCAGCCTCCCAAAGTGCTGGGATTATGGGTATTTTATTAATTTTTTCAAAAAACCAGCGTCTATATTTGTTTATTTTTTTGAAGGGTTTTTCGTGTCTCTCTCTCCTTCAGTTCCATTCTGATCTTGGTTATTTCTTGTCTCCTGCTAGCTTTGGGGTTTGTTTGCTCTTGGTTCTGTAGTTGATTTAGTTGTGACGTTAGGAGATCTTTCTTGCTTTTGGATATATTTTGAAGATAGTACCTACAGAATTCTTCTACGGATTGTTTATAAGGTATGGAGAAAAAAGAAGGGAGGCAAGGATAATGACAATTTTTTTTTGATTAAGCTAAAATATTTACTAGGTGTATCTTTCACTCAGAGAGTGCTAAGAAAGGATCAAGTTGAAAAAAGTTTGAAATGCTTATTAAGTGTCTTCAATGTTTGACGTTAGAATACTAAATTTCAGTCCAAAGTGATAGTAATGGTTTATACTCCCACCAGTTTTATATGATCCATTTGGGTGAAATCTAGATTTGGGTGCCTCTTCAGCAAGAGATAGCAGATTTGGGTGCCTTTCAGCAAGAGATAGCATGTCAAACTGCTGTTCTGTGAAGATTCGTTGACAATCAGTGCACTAAGGGCACCTATCATTTAAAAAACCAAACCAAAACAAAAAAACCCCACTTAATTGTTTTGTGCAAAATCAGTCGTGAAGTAAATTCTGTAAAGTTGGGTTTATTAGGTTTATGTTTTTATACCTTGGGTTTTCTTTAATTGGGATTCACCTGTTTTTGTTTTATTTTTAATTCTAGATGCCGGCTCTGGTATGGAAGAGATAGAATTAAGCTGGGAAGATTATCTAGAAGAAACAGGGTCCACAGCAGTTCCCTATGGGTCTTTTAAACATGTAAGCAATAACTATATTTGCCTTATTGGTGTTATATCCCTTTATTTCGAATCTCTGTATTATCATTAGAGAATTTAAAGTTATTTTAATTTGTGGTACTTGAAAGAATTTAAGAGCTTTTTCTTTCCTCCTGCCCTCCTGCCACGCTTACTAAAAACCCTTGCCATTTTTTTTTTTTTTTTTTTTTGAGACGGAGCCTCGCTTTGTCGCCCAGGCTGGAGTGCAGTGGCGTGATCTCGGCTCACTGCAAGCTCCGCCTCTCCTGACCTTGTGATCTGCCCGCCTCGGCCTCCTGAGTAGCTGGGACTACAGACACCTGCCACCATGCCCGGCTAATTTTTTTGTATTTTTAGTAGAGACGGGGTTTCACCATTGACAGGATGATCTCGATCTCCTGACCTCGTGATCCGCCTGCCTTGGCCTCCCAAAGTGCTGGGATTACAGGCATGAGCCACCACACCCGGTCACACTTGCCATATTCTAAAATCCTTTTTGGTTTTGTATATTTTCTGCCACTCAATGCATGACTTATCTTTTTGACTATTTATGAACATTCCTTTATTTTTGTCAAAAAACCTTGTCATAAATTGAAAAAAATTATTGCACTTTGTTGCATTCATTAAAAGTAATTTCAGTAGCATTATTTGCTGTCACTCTTATTGAGCAGAACATGAGTATGACATACATACTTACATGTCGTATTAGTGACCTGTGCAGTTTAGTTTTATGCCCTAACAACCCAGTTTAATGCTTTGTCAATGACAACATAATTGCCCTGTGTAATGACTTTAGAATGTAAGAAAGTACCCCAAATTTTGTTCATAGTTTATATCTAGACCTAGGTTTTTTTTCTGGTGGGGGCAGTCAGTGTCTCAGTCTGTCGCCCATCACAGCTCACTGTAGCCTCAATCCCCTGGGCTCAGGTGATCCTCCCACCTCAGCCTCTTAAGTAACTGGAACTACAGGTGTGCACCACCACAGCCAGCTTATTTTTAGTCGAGATAGTGTTTCACCATGTTGGCCAGTCTCAAACTCCTGGGCTCAAGCAATCTTACCGCCTTGGCCTCCCAAAGTGCTGGGATTACAGGCGTGAGTCACTCTGTCCATCCTAGACCTAGTTTTTAACCTGTTTACTCTAACTCCCTCTTAAAACACACAGAATAATTAATTCTAAAACTATTTATTTCATATTTGTCATAGTCTGTTTGGGCTGCCATAGCAAAATGTCATAGACTAGGTGGCTTAAACAACTGACATTTATCTTCTCACAGTTATGGAGACTGAAAGCCTAGGCGTGTAGCTGCTTTCTGGTGAGGGCCCTCTTTCTGGCTTGCAGATAGTTGCCACCTTGCTGTGTCCTCACATGGTAGAAACAGAAAGAGCTCTCTGGTGTCTCTTCTTAAAGGACACCAATTCTGTTAGATCAGGGCTCCATCCTTCTGACCTCTAAATGTTTGTGCCTTTCCAAAATTTATATGTTGAAACCTAATTCCAACTGCAGTGGTATGAAGAGATGGGGCCTTGGGGAGGTGATTAGGCCATAAAGGCTTTTTCTCATAAATGGGATTGGGCCGTTATGAGGGAAGGCACCATCTTTGAAGCAGAAAGCGAGCCCTCACCAGATCCTGAATCCGCTGGAGCCTTGATTTTAGAGTTTCCAGCCTCCAGAATTGTGAGCAGTAAATTTCTGTTGTTTATACATTTTCCAGTCTAAGATATTTTGGTATAGCAACCCTAAATGGACTAAGACAACCTTCATAAATGGCCTATATCTAAACAGTCATACTGGAGGTTAGGGTTTGAACATATAAATTTTGGGGTGAACCGTTTAGCCCATAGCAATGTTCCATGGGGCATAGTTCTTTTTTCCTAGGATTTGTGAAGACACTGACGCACAGTCAGTGTTGTCTGTGATTTTGTGAGGTTTGACCATATTCTTTTAGCTGTTGTCTTTATATACTAAAGAGTCCCGCCATTCTCCTGCCTCAGCCTCCTGAGTAGCTGGGACTACAGGCGCCTGCCATCATGTCTGGCTGATTTTTTGTATTTTTAGTAGAGATGGGGTTTCGCCATATTAGCCGGGATGGTCTCTATCTCCTGACCTTGTGATCCGCTTGCCTCGGCCTCCCAAAGTGCTGGGATTACAGGCGTGAGCCACCGTGCCCAGGGAGTCCTACTATTTTTAGTTTTCCATATGTAAAAACCCAGTCATGTTAGCTGCCCTTTTTGATTATTCTTTGTTCATTTATATCTCTCTTAAAGTGGTGAGAATTACATATTTCAGATAAGGATTTTATTTCATATTGAATTGATTAATCTTTTTTTTTTTTTT